AGTCAGTGGACAGGAGACACAGTCAGTGGACAGGACATACAGTCAGTGGACAGGAGACAACAAATTTTCTCTTCCCGACATAAACATCATTAACACGGTTCTTTAAGCAAACTGTATGAGCTCCAGGTCCTCCTCACCGTGTTCTGGGAGAACATCCAGAACAGTTGGGAACATTAAAGTTATAATGACAGAACACAAACGCACCCTCTGCAGGGGGATAATGTCTCCGTCCCTCAATTTGTCTTCAGTCACAGGATCCACCATATCCTTCTTGATCAACTTCTCCACACATTCCTGAGTCACCACAGCCCCCCTGAAACAGGTCACAGTTAGTCCCTCAGTCCGCTACCTCTCCAAAAAAAGCTTCACATGATAAAACAAAGGGCCGGACTCACGAAGGCTTCAGGACCGCACTGGGAACACTGTTGCCTAAAGCGTCCCTGGTCACTGCACACACATACCGCTCCTGAGGACAGAAGACTGAATTAAACCACACAGAGACATGCACGAACACGCACACATGCACACACACGCATGCACGCACAGCAGGCTTTGTTAACTGGTTAATTTGTCCATCCATTATGTTCTGATTGTTTAGGAGTCAGCGGGGGCAGCATCTTGAGCAGGGAGGTCCTCTCCACAGCCTCTTCCAGCTCTTCTGGGAGGACTCCAAGGTGTTCCCAGGACAACCGAGAGACAGGCTCTCCACCGTGTCCTGGGTCTTCCCCGGGGTCTCCTCTCACTTGGACATGCCCAGTGGAAGAGTCCAGAGGTCAACTTTACCAGACTTCACCACCTGGGGATGGCTCAGTGGTTAGAGCAGTCGTCCTCCAATGCAAGAGTTGTGGGTTCTAGGGGTTGAACGACTACATCATTTTTAAACTCGACATTAACATAATAAAATTCAAGTAGAACTCGAGTACTTGATGACATCATAGGATATCAAGATGCAACAATAAACAAATAAATAAAACTGCAAAAAAAGGTCATTATTTACAAAAAAAGACCAACAAAACATTGGGAGAGTATATTATGCTCCTACCATTTATCATACTTCGTCACAGGAAAAACTAAACTATCAGTTTTTATTATTAAGCAGCAAAATTGAAAGAAACGTGCGGCACGTCAAAAACGAAACTAAAAACAGCTGGGTGGTCGACCACCATGCACCGCCCGCAGTGTTGCGCATTAGTTTTAGAGATTAATATATTTATAGGTTAAAAAAAAGGTTTAGAGATTAATATATTTTGCTTTTTGTTTGTGAAACAAGGTCAGAGGAAGGTGGTTCTGGTTCGGTGATTGGACCCGGTGTTGCACCATATTCTGTGACCTGCAACAGTGCATGCAACACCGCCCCCTATGGTCACAATATACTGTGGTCACAGAATATGGTATAACACCGGTTCGCAATGAGCTCCAAACAGTCAGGAAGTTGATTCATGTCCTGTTTCCTTACAGTAGCTGAACAGGAAGATTCATCTTTAGTGAAATATTTCCAGACTGTTGATGCATTTCTACCTGTTTGTCAAGACTGGGCCTTCTCCGCTCCATCTGTCTGCTGGGAGGAATCCATTTTGTAACCCGTGCCTGGTGCGGATCACGTGACACGTGATGCAATGACATAATGGCGACGTAATAACGTCACTACAAATACTCAATGTGAAATTTAAAAGCTCGATAGATGTCCTAGGAATCGATGTGTAGATTACTCGAGTAGTCTGTTAAAACTCTAGTGGGTTCTAATCCACCAGCAGTCACATGCTGAAGTGTCCCTGGGCAAGACACTGAACCCCTCATAGCCTCTGATGTGTGTCCCACCAGTGTATGAATGTGATCTAAAGCACTGATTAGTTTCTTTAGAATGATTTGTTCAATTATCTTTGTAGAGATCTAGTATAGAGCTGTATGAATGGGTAAATGAGGCACAGATTGTAGAGTAAAGATCTTTGAGTGTCTTGATAACATAGAAAGATGCTGTATAAGTACAGTCCAGTTACCATTTACCTCAACTAGCTCCTCTGGATGTGAAGAAGCAACTACTCTACTCAAGCTCTACTCTGAGTCTCTCCTGATAACTGAACTTCTCACCCTATCTCTAAGGAAGAGTCCAGCTACCCTGCAGAGAAAATTCATTCAGACTGCCTAGATATGGTAAATGGACAGAACTTGTATAGTTCTTTTTTATCTTATCAAGACATTCAAAGCACTTTACACTACAATCTGTGCCTCGTTCATTCATACAGCTCTCTACCAGATCTCTACAAAGATAATTTAACAAATCATTCTAAAGAGACTAATCAGAGCTTTAGATCACATTCATACACTGATGGGACACACATCAGAGACTATGAGGGGTTCAGTGTCTTGCCCAGGGACACTTCAGCATGTGACTGCTGGTGGATTCGAACCCCCCAACGCTCACATTGGAGGACGACTGCTCTAACCACTCAGCCACAGCCGCCCCATAAATCACAAGCTATAAAGACAACAGAGAATATAAACATGCCAACAATTAAGTTTAAATAGGTCAGGTGCAGACATGTGTGAAATTCATTCAACCTTTATTTCTACAGGTAAATCCCATTGAGCCTCGAGGACTCATTTACAAGAGAGACCTGATTTAACAAACAATGATGACAACAATGGACAACAGCGACAACAATAGACAGTTATAAAAAGTCATACAATTTATTATTATTATTTTTTTTAAACAAATAGGATGGCTAAAAAAAAAAGAAAAGTAACAAAAAAACAGCTAGATTCTAAGGCAAATGTAAAAAACTAAAAACAGGAGGATTAATTTTATTGTCCTATATGCAGAAAGGGGGAGGAGTTGAAAAGTTTGATAGCCACAGGGAGGAAGGACTTCCTGTGTTGTTCTGTGGAGCACCTCGGTGGTCTCAGTCTACGACCCTATTTACACGGACACGATGGAGGGAAACGTAGGTTTTTTCGTATGTTAATTAGAGGAAAAGATTTGCGTTGACACGGTCTGATTTTGGGTTTACACGCATCCTGAGGATTCCTCCCGCCCTCCCGAATCCACTGTAGTTACCATGCCGGGTCATTAGATGGCGCTGTGAATTTTGTACCTTCACCTAATGCGCATGCTGCTGCCTCGGCCCGTTGTTTTCCTCTGAGCTAACCAGCTAACAACAACGTAACGTAACAAGTTAAAGATGGATTGTGGATAAGAGTCGACAGATTTGATGCCAAGCAGGACCACTTCATCTAACAGCTCCACACCGGTCACTGAGTGGACCAGAACCGAGTCGATGTCGGACTTTACTCCGTGATAATCAGTAGCTGTTTTACAGCAGGTTAATCAT